CCTGCCCGCCCTTCCCTCCCGCTCCGCGGCTGCTCCGCCTTGACCGCGGTCATGCGTTCCTCCTGTAAATACTACAGCGCCGGCCGCCGAGGCGGTTTTTGCTGTGTGATACTGCAGTTGCGTTGTTGATGAGCCCTGGCTGCTTAGGATCAACGCGGCCTGTTTCCTGAGAGAGAAGAGGCCAAGGCAGTCATGACATACAACTGAAGTAGTTTCTAGGAGAAGTTTGCATTTCCACCATAGCAGAAGGCTGATCAGGAGATCTGGTCTCGAGTAGGTGAGGTCTAGAGATCCTCTGCAGCCTTACTTTCCGTGCTGGGTTCACATCTGAGCTGTAGGGATGTGCCACGAGTTGCTCTGCCCGGGCAGCCGCTGCCCCAGGGCCGCCTCAGACGGGCAGGCCCGGGCCAGGCTCGGGGCTGCTCTAAAACACTCCCTTCTCCAGCGCTTTCTGCCACTCTTGCACCTTCAAACGGCAATGCTGCTGCTTCTGGTTTCAACATAAAAAGAAATTTCAGCCGTTTCCTGACCATATTTAGGAAGCATGATTTAAGTTCTCACAGTAATCTGCTACAATGATGGGGGTGACCAGACTGCTGGCTTCTGGCCTCTGACATGACATCGGTTCAGGTGTTTTGTTAGGGTGCTTTCCCATTTCTGACATCTGTCCTTCTCACAAAAATACCGGTACTTTCTATTACAACATTATGTTGCTGGACTGTTTGTATTGATGTAACAAAAGTATGTATCATACTCTAGTTTGACGTGACTGCTTCCACAAAGATATAATCAGAATTCATAAAACTTAATTATTATAAAATTAGTATTTATGTTTTGTAACTGCAGGTGCTTACGGATTAATCATAATTATATACTGGGGCTAACAGGAGCATAATGGAATCTTGACGAGAGCAGGGATTTCCCTTGGCCGCTGTCCAAGGTCTCCGTGTGATTGCCAGTCCTGGCAACCAGCACTGTGCTCTGCAAAGCCCGAGAGCTGCATATGAACCAGATCAGCCCAACTGCCACTGAGAGTAAGGCTGGGCAGAACTCCAGAGGAGAAAGATCAATTCTGCCTCCATAATTCTTGACAGATGACTGTACAAGCTTTTTTTAAAAACCCCATGATTTCCCTAGCTGGTCCGTTCCAGCACTTCTTGGGTAGTACCTTGAAAGGATTTTTTCTGTATCTGAGCAGAGTCTTTCCAATTGCAATTTATATCCATTCTTGACATGAGAACTGTTTGCTTTCGTCCTTGCAGCTACTTTTTGCATGCTTGTGTAGTGTTATGATTCTCTCAAGCCTTCACTAAGGCTACGCAACCTGGTGTTTTCAGGTGTACTCTCCCGGGTGATAGTTTCTGGATATCTGATAATGCTTTCCTCTGGTTTTTCTCCAGTGAGTCCACACCTTCTTGAAGTACCCAAACTAGAAATACTACTCCACAGAACTGACCAGTGCCTCTGAGTGGGCAGGAAGGATTAATTTGTCTTACACGTAGTATTTATATATCCCTACATAGTGTCTGGTTTTTTGTCACTGGCCTCACCTTGTGACTCACACTGTGATACATGATAACATTTAGATCGATTTTGGAACACTTACTTGTCATTTACAATACAGAGTTCTAAGAAACACTGTATTTGTCCTTTACCAAATGGTGAGAAAGATCTTACCCCTAGAACTGAGAAATACTTAAATATTTGGCTTTACAGACATTTTGTTTTTATTATGTAGAAGAATGTTTCTTGTGACTTGCAAGTTTGTTACAAACAATGATAATGATTGTAAATATTTTACTCTTCTAAGGCTGACTAGCCATAACACCACCAAAAAAGCATAACATAGCAGGCACCAAAACACAAACACAGCAACAAAAGTTTCAATGTTCAGAACATGTGAGATGGTGCAATCCCTTGTAATTCTTCTGTATAAACTGATGTTAGTTTCTAGAAAAACTCTTTTGAATGGTGATTCCTTTCTAGTCTGTGAATGTATGGCAAAATGAACATCGACCAATGGTCCCCAAAGACAAAACACCACCACGCTTTAGTGAAACTGATGTCTGGGATCACCTCAGGATCTTTAATTCACTAGAAGATGCATATGGTATTAGAGATGGACACTGAGGGAACAGCAGCATTAGTTTGCTATTAATTATTTTTCTAGGTTGAAGCTACGCTTTAGTTTTGCAGGTCAGTAGGAATATGAGTGCTTTCCCAGAAGACATTTACCCCCTATTGCCTTGATTCTGCCTAGAAACTCTAAGCAGTTGGAGTTTCCATATGCAATTCAAGTGAATCATATTAGTGATGCATGAAAACCCAGTACACATTTCCATAGTGTAAGATGGGGATTCTTCTCCCATGTAAACAGATAACAGCTTTTTTTTAAAAGCCTGTGGAGCTTTATAGTTTTTAATATAAATGATATATACACATTAAAATGAACTAAGATCTTTGCCTTATCACAGCTGCCCTTGGGACAGTTTATTCTTAGAATCTTAGAATCTCTCTTCCTGGCATTTGTAAAAATATGTTCCACCATATCTTCTTATCATAACGACTTTAATAAAGTAATTCGAGTATATATACATTCTATAAAAATGTGGGGTTGACAAAATAATATAATGCAGAATATCAAATTCCTGCAAACATTTTTTAATATCTTCCATCAGTAATTCCTAATCTGAACCAGAAGCTAAATCAAGTTGCCTATTTTAGCATTTTTCCTATATAAGTCTTCTGATTAGAGCGGTTGTCTTACCTTTATAAAACAAGCTCACAAACCCGATTTTTTGATCTAGAAATTGAAAACAAGCTTTGTGTTTGAATTGCTCCCTGCTTGCATTTGAGAAAAACCCGCCATCTGGTGGCCACGGTTGTGTAATACTGCTGCGCAGGAAAGTGAGGGCAGCATCTGTTCACTGCTTGTAAGAAAAACAACAAACTCTTTCTCAAGGACTAGCTACAAAACTTCTTCATGAAAAGTACCATTCTGATTTTCCTCTTTCTTTCTGTGATATTAGATGTGAACTACTTGTGCAAAATGTGTATGAGTAGTGGATTCCCAGTGTGTTCCCATTGTCAATTTAATTTCTTTCTTTCTTTTCAGGCCATGGTGCCCTAATGCCAGTTCAGTCTCGGCTTCCCTTCTGGAACAATTCCAACTAGTGCCTTCCAAGAAGCAATCTGGGCACAGCTGTCAGCATGTTCTCTCCAGAGGCCAGTGCAGCCATCTTGCAGACCAATGCAAGTCACATCATGTTTGTCTTTCTCTACCTGGGACAGTCTTCCAGAGTTATCCTGGTAAGCCATATAACCTCAAAGGTCTTTGTGCCATGGCCATGCAATGTGTAACCTCAGTATTGTGCTATGTAAATGACACTGAGTCGGGCTGACACAGGTATTTTGAACTAAAAAGGCCACAAACATTTTTGATAATTGTATCTCAGAATCAGAAAAGCTTTATATGAGGCTCTGAGGAGATACAGGTTAAGCCCTGAGCAGTGTGCACATACGTGTCTCTTTGAAGAAATTGATGGGGATAGATGTGGTCTGTTGTGCAGGCACTATCAGCTGCAATAGCAGAGAAAATACTGTGGAAGAGGAATTAGAATTGCCCTGTACTGTTTGATGATCTGTACTGATAAAAGACAAATTAAATGGCAGACCTTGGAGGAAAAAAATAGAAAGATTTTTATTATAGAAGGTAACTGCAACAAACGCTACTTAACAATCTTTAGAACTAATACCTTTTCAGCATCTGATGAAAAATTCCATCCATGGGAATGTTCAGTGGGCTGGATAGCACATGGTATATAGAACTCTGTTAGTGGATTTCAGTTTGCTGGGAAGTTAGCTCTGCATGTCCCTCAGTAGAATGTATTGGTTTAGTGTGACTTTGAACAAGGAAAGCTGTTCTGACTGTTCATTTCACAGTGCTCAGGTACCTGTGGTCTGGAGGATGTGCTGAAAGACACACATGTGTCCATCCATACACACACCCTGACACACTTCCTTTTTTCTTCTAAAACAGTTGCAGACAAACATGTATTTCAGTGTTTTCATTTCACGTTAAATAGAACTGAAATACCGCTAAAGCTAAGCTTTCTCCTGGGTAATCCTAGATGTTTTCTCTTACAGAAGTTCCTTTCTCTGACTTTTTCCTTTCTTTCCTAAATGTTAGACTTCCTGTGCTAGTGTTATGCCCTTGATATGGGTGCACATTTCACATAGTGTTTGCCTAGTAAGCTTCCAAACAATTCATTCCACTTGAAGTTCTTTCTAGCTGTTTTTATTAGAGGGAAGTTGCTGTCTCTAGTCTGTGTGAGAATCCAGCCAATAGGTATAGATAAAATAGTCCAAGAATAAGTGCTCGTAAACTGCACCAGAGAGGAGAACCTCATGCTGAGTTCCCTAAAGTTGCTTCTGCTGAATTCCTTTCTCTTTGCACTTCTTAACAGACAGAAGGCAAGTTCAATCAGAGGCAAGAACCTAGTCACTTCAGTTAGAAGTCATACCTGATAATGACCTGTGTAAAAGGAGGTACTTAAGTAAATGATGAGCTTGCATGTTCTTAATCCTAGTGGGGTAGGTAGTACTTGTGTTAGATTTTTAGTCCTAGACAGGCAGATAGGTTGCTGAGCTAGCTTTGTTAACAAATTAGGAAAAAATAGCATTGGGTCTTGCTGATGAGTGAAAATAAAGGTAGTATTATCTGAAGGAATCCATTGGGTATGTCCCCTTGGGGAATCCTCCTGTAAAAGTTCCTCACCTGAGCTGGCTGCAGAATTTGACAACTTGACTTTCTGTTTCTCTGGGTAAGGAATGCTCTAGACTGATGATGGGGGATCTCCAACTCCCAGTGCTCTCAACTGGCACCTTCTCTGATTATTGAATTCACTTGAAAATAAAAGAAAAAAAGTAGATTTACAAGAAAAAGAGGGACTCCAGTGAATTGTGTGAGAATGAGATATAAAATTAACTGGGTTTTTTTTCCCTTTGAACTGAACCCAGGAGCCTCAGTAAAGTTTACCCTATTTAAAGCATTAATTAGGGAGCTGACTGTACATAAAGATAAAACAGAACTCTTAAAGAAGCCTTCAGGGACTCAAAAAAACCCAGTTTTGTCTACATGAGGCAAAAGAATTTTAATTAGAAGCAACTGAATTGAAGTGAACTGATATGAGCAACAAAAAGAGAATTTATCCCACAATGTATTCAGGGAACATAATTGAATGTTCATTAGCTAAGAGTTATATACTGACTGTTAATGAGCAGAAATGAATATGTATTATTTCTTATTAAGCTGGAAATGTATGGAACTAATTGCATTTAAATATAGCAGCTATAAAGCTGTGTTTAGTAAATGTCACTACTAAGAACAGCAAAGACATAGGTGAATTTGTATTCTTTACTGCAGTATCGTTCTGAATATTTATTATGCTAAGTGGTATTAATATGTAGCTTTTTGTGGAAATGGTTATTATGTTGTGCTAGTAGGACTTGGTGATGCCTTCATTTGGATAGGATTTATGCTTTGTTTATTATAAATTGGGGAAGGCAGCATAACTAAGACAGAAACTCAGATTACTGTAAATCAGTGTTATTATCACTTCTCATCATGGGAGTCCTCTGTTATTTGTGATCAATGACACTTGGCTTCTTTACAAAAATCTCAGGAAACAGTTTTGGTAAAGTGTCTTTGTTGAAGAGGAACAGGAGAAACCCGTCTTGTTATTCAATGTGGAGATAGAAGAGCAGAAGTAATATGAATTAACACAGTGGATGCCCTGTGTGTGCCCCCAGGAAGGGCCTATGCCTGCTGGGAAAGCAGTACCCTGAGTGGGTGCAGAGCAGCAGGGAAAAAAGAAGTGCCACAGAGAGGAAGCTCCTTAAAAGTAATTCCTCTCTAGAGGTCTGGTGGATTCCTGATGTTGAATTAGCCTGTTTTTTTCTGGAGCTGATGTAGAGTGCCAAGACACCTAGTCCTGACTCTGGAAACTTCACTGGAGTATGCAAACAAAGTTGGACTTAGATCCGTGATTATTCATTGCAGCTGAAAGGCCACCATTTCTGCATGGAAAAATTAGATGTTTTCATCCTCCTTCTTTTGAAATGGAAGGATATTTTGGACCTGCAGTCAGGGAGGTTCAGGACACCTTTGAGCTGCTTTATGCTATTTAACATAACAGTGCTGTAGACAGTAATTTTTTTGGAAGTTAATGGCTATCTTCCTGCTTAAATGGAAAAAATATCCAATTTGAATTATT